ACAAAATGGAAGGTTATAAAAATTATGGTTTGTCTGAGTATTTTGACAATCTTATAGTGAGTAACTTACGTTTAACTTAGTAGTTTATTTTGGAGTGGTGGTGGTGGATAAAATAGAGATGAGAAGATACCTAAAGAAAATGTTTCACGTGTGTCACACTAGGGGAATTTAGTATATTTTTAAATATTGCCTTAGAGAATTAAGAACTTAAAACGTGTATACTATTAAAATATGGATTATTAGCTAAGAGTTTATGCTATACTAATTGGTATAACATAAACAAATAATTGTTTAATAAAATGTGAATGTATGACACTAAAACCTTATGCCATGTGCAGTAAAGGATCCCTGGACCCCAGAGGGCTAACTGGTCCATTTCTTGTTTTCTTATTGTGTTATCAGCACTGATGGTATTTGCATGATGTTGTAGGCATCTCACGATGCCTTTCTTAACAGTATCTGAATGGTGTGACTCGTAGTTGAGGTAGCAACCGGTGGCTGTTGGTTTATTGTATACAGATATCTTGAAACCAGTTTCACCTCTTTTCACTTCGACGTCTAGGAGCGGTAGTAAATTGTTGTTTTCATGTTCCATGGTGAACTGGAATGATGGTCGAAGACTTGATATGGTCCAGGAATGACGTTACGTCCTCTTGATGTTGCCATAGGAAGAACGTGTCATCAACATATTTTAACCACACTGCTGGCACAAGAGGTGCAGCTTCCAATGTTACATCCTCGAAGTATTTCATATAGATGTTGGCAATCACAGGTGACAATGGCGAGCCCATAACCATCCCTTCCTTATGTTGTTAATACACACCATCTAGCTGGAAGACTTTGATGGTTACACAGAACTTGAGCAACTCAATTATATTATCTTGGGATGCATGTTCTTTCCAGTAGAGTGTCATCCATTTCCAATCTGCTCCTCACTGCAGTTAAGGCCTCGACTATTGGTACATTGGTGAACAGGCTCACAATGTCGAAGCTAACCATTTGTATACCAGGTGTTATGGGCATGTCCTTGGTCAAGGAGACGAAATGGGTGGAGTTCTTCACATATGAGGATGACTTCCCACTCAGGGGACTGATTATCTTGACCAGGAATTGGCCCAGTGGGTGACATGCTGAGCCCCACCAGCTGGCAATTGGTCTTAGTGGTACGCCAGTCTTGTGTATTTTTGGTAGGTTGTACATGTGTGGTAGTTTCTGTAATGTTGATTCAACTGTCGATATTGTGTATCAGTCAAGTATTCTCCTGAAGAAGAATAGTCAACTATTGGAAAGTGCTCGAGTTTTGGGTCTCGTTTTGAAAATATTACAACT